TTGCCCACCTGAATCGTCTCTGCACCACCTTGAGGTGTCTCATTCGTCCGGTGCCTGTGGTATGACGTCTGATCGCTTTAATAGACCACTGGTAAGATCTCTTCCTCTTGGCCGGGTACCCACACGAAGCGCACGTGTGCTTTTGGATGTGGTACGACGACCTGCCGCATCTGCGACACAAAGTGTGCGTTTTGTTGTGGCGTTTGCCGAATGACGAGGTTCCTTTGGTCATCTTTTATCAATAATAACCCTGAAATGACTCATTTTGTGACGTAAATACGTGAAAATCACGTGAAAACGTGAAAAATTACGTGAAAACTCGATCTATAAAAGTGCCGATAGGAAAATAAGGAAAGCATTCGAAAAATTTGGAAAATGAGTGAAATTCTCAAAAGATTTTGTAAATTTTCCATATCAATCTGCTCAAATTTACACGACATCCCCATATTTTCTATCGATAACATTGAAATGGCTCTTCATTTAAGATTACATAAGAATACACACGAAATTTTTAGGAATTTAAACTTTTTTAGGAGATTTGTTTTTAAAAAATGAAAAACCGGTAGTTCATTTGAAAATTATCAATTTCTAGTGCAGAATCAGTTCCTGCTTGAATCGAAAAACGATTAAACAGCCTAAAACACAGAAATATCGAGGAAATAAGGTTGATAAATCAAAATTAATTTTAGAAATCGAAGTGAAACCATAAATTAGGGCAAATAATTCAGTGATTTTTCCGTGAAACGGAATATAAATAGGTCTGATATACAGAGGGCATTGCAAGTACCACATTTACTTACTATATTTACTGTTTTTAAGATAACAATAAACAAAAATATCAAGAAAAGTACCGCAAATACGTAGGCAAAATGAAAAAAATAGATAAATACTCCCAAAACGTAGACCGCAACGCATCACAGGTGCGAACGAACGTCGAAAATTTCGTTGCAGGACTCGTAGCTATAAACGTCTATTGCAACTAAACAGCGTATTTGAATACGGAACGATTGCTGCAGCCATATTGCTGTTGACAGCGTTATATCTAACAGTAATAATATATAATAATAAAAATTAAATAATAATAATAATAATAAAAACAATAATAATAATAATATCAAAAATAATAATAAAAAGCTACAGTTATAGTTAAAAGGCATATAAAGTTACTGCTATTTAT